ATACGTAGGTATATATACTACCTCTTCTTTGAATGAAACTCTAGACTGTTTTTTCTTGGTGCTGTTCGCACTTGAGCTAACACTCTCTTCATGTCTGACATTGATAATAACAAAATTGGCAACAAACAACAAGATGTTACTAATCCTTCGCGTAATAAAATTAGCGACAACGAACATGATGACAATTTTGAAGACCAGAGCTACACCTGGCTTCCATCTGGAGAGATGCTTAAACTCCCTACAAAAATCTTTAAAGACAATACACTTCTCCTTGATGAGAAACAAGTTATATTACAATCTCACCCTCATAACAAAAACATACGATTTCAACCATCCACAATGGACAAAGACTTATGGAAGTTCATGTCAAAAAACACAAAAGACAATGATAAATTATTATCAAAACTTTCTTACTGCTTTTCTGCAGTGTTACGTCCGTTAGACAACTCACTACGCTTATTATATGATGCCAAACCTAATGATAATGAACTCCAAGGTGTCATCGATACATGGAAAGCTATGGAGCAATCTTTACTATATACTAGAAATCTCCTACTCAATGGTCTCTCTTTTGCGAATGATATTCAACAGGACCAGGCTATTAAATGTATTTCTCCATCTCATCAAGCTCCTGCCGAACAGAAGGAGGTATTCGGCCCCACAAATCTTAAAGAAATTTTTGAAAAAGAGAATGCTAAAAACAAACTGGTTAGTAATGCATTGCGGTATCAGAGGAAACCTAAACCCAACACAAAGTTCACGCCTCATGGAAGAGGAAACAATACTTCCCAATTCGGACATCGTAAGCAAGGCTTCCCACGCCCTTTTTTTGGAGAAAACAACAGGTTCACGAACGACTACTCCTCGGGAGCAAGACAAATACAGAATCGAACTCAAAACCAACAATAAAGACCCAGGACCTATGTGGTTTACAATATCACATAGATACCTGGGAGAAGATGTTCGGAGAATCATGGGTCACCAACATAATTCGCAATGGTTATTCTCCCCAATGGTTATATCAACCAAAACACCTAATTCAACCAGTATCCTATTTCACTCACAACAAAAACATAAGTGGAAAAATTTCAGAATATTTGAAAATAGAGGCCATAAAAAGGATATCAGAATCAATTTCATGTTACCTATCAAAGATATTTGCAGTTCCCAAAAAGAACAGCAAGATCCGATTGGTGATAGATTTAAGAAACCTAAACAAATATGTACTATATCAACATTTCAAGATAGAAAACATAGAGACCGTCAAATCTATACTCCACTCAGATCATTATATAGTTTCGATAGACATCAAGAATGCCTTTTTTCATATTCCGATCGCAGAAGAGGATCAGACATACTTTGCATTCGATTACAACGGAGAATGCTTTACATTCACTGCATTACTATTTGGTCTCTCTGCCAGCCTCAGAACCTTTACAAAGGTCTTGCATTCTATTATAAAGGAACTAAGATCACAAGACATATGTATAGTGGCTTATTTAGATGACCTAATTATTATCACAAAATCAAAGGCGGAGGCGTTGAGTCATCAAAGAATTATAATCGGACCTTCTGCACTCGTTGGGACTTACTATAAACTGGGAAAAATCTTCATTAGAACCCTCAAAGGAAGTGGATTACTTGGGTTTTATCATCAACACATCCAAAATGACGATAGCTCTCCCACACACCAAGGTGAAGGAAGTAATAAGAGAATGCAAAATGCTTCTCAAGAAAGACAGAATACATATACGCAAATTGGCTTCGATAATTGGCAAATTGGTAGCAACAATGAATGCAGTCTTCCCAGCACGACTCAAAACCAGGACATTAATCCGAGACAAGAATATAGCCCTCAAAACACAGGGATGGAACACAACCCTTACTCTATCAACAGAAAGCAAGGAACACCTCACTTGGTGGATCCACAATCTACAAACATGGAATGGAGAATCAGTGATTCAGTCTCACCCAGATCTGACAATTTACACAGACGCCTCCCGCAGTGGTTAGGGAGTGGTTCTGGAAAACTTTCTCATTTCAGGAAGATAGTCATTACAAGAGCGTCAACTACACATAAATGCCCTAGAAGCCCTGGCAGTACTGCAGGCACTGAAAAGAATAAAGGACCCTTCAAAGAAGCACATGAGGATAATGTCCGACAACGTAATAACAGTTACCTACCTGAACAACCAAGGAGGTACTATCTCCCCAATAGTCAGCAAGATCATTGAGTCAATTTGGGAATACGCTTTAAAAAAATCAATAAAAATAACTGCGGTACACATTCTAGGAAAGGACAACACACTCGCAGACAGGGCATCCAGACACTTTAAAGACAGACATGATTGGGAGATTCATCCCCTATTCTTTCAAAAAAATCTAATGGCTTTGGGGCCCATTTCAAGTAGATCTCTTCGCAAATGCGGACAACATAAAACTACCAAGATTTTTTTCCTGGACAAACAAAGTGAACTCGGAATAGATAGATGCATTCCACACGAAGTGGACCAATATATCAGATTATGCCAACCCACCATGAGTAAAGATGAACAAGGTAATTGCGAAGACCATTCGAGACAGAGCAAAAGTAATACTGATTTAACCTCGATGGACATCAGCCCCATGGTATCCCCTGCTAACCAAGATAATGGTATCCAGACCCATAACAGTCCCCAAGTGGGTGATCTTACCAGGCAAATGCTCCCAGATACACCCAATAAGGAATATGTTGTGGAAAATTTGCGCAGTACCTATTTTAGGGAATCGCTACAAAATCAAGGACTATCGGAAGAAGTAGTTAGTTAACTTAACAAAAGGAGTATTGGATCAATCAGCATCCACTACAGTATCCTCAAACTTAAAGACATGGGTAAATTGGTGCAATTAACAGGGTATAGACCCAAAAGGTTGCGGAATACCTAAAATAGCTGAGTTCCTGAATGTTCAAAACACATTAGGCAAATTCTATAACACTATCGCTGGCTACAGATCTGCTATAAGTGAGATCTACAGACAAGAAGATAATACCCGCATCGGCTCACATCCCACTATCGGGAAGGTAATGAAAGCTATGGAAAAATAACCCACCACCAGAGCTTTTGGATGATGTTTCAGATATCACTCCTTCTTTTGATGCTATCATAGCTTGGAAAAAGAATGAAGATTTATCTCTTCTAAAGCTAAATAAAAAAACTGCCTTCCTATTAGCAATAACTACGGAATCACGGCCCTCAAATCTTAGCAGACTTGACTTATCTTCAATGACTCAATCTCGTAAAGGCTCAAGCTTGAAATGTATCATGCCTAAGAAGGCAAAAATATCTACGTCAAAAGGAGGCCATAAACGCTTAAAAATAGTGTTTGTGGGCAAATACGACGAAGAACCTTTGCTATGCCCCTGGTCAGCACTGACTACTTTAATTTTCAAGACCACAAAATTCAGAGATTTGCAAGAAACTTTAAATAACATTTTCCTGAGCTCCACTACCGGTAGACCAGCAGCAGTTGACACAATCTCTAAATGGATAAAAGAGATATTACTATTTTCTGGCCCATCTTTTTCAGCCAAGGATACACGAGTTCTAGTAGCCTTTTTTGCCCAAAACGCAGGATTAGAATTGTCAGCCATTTTAGCATTAGGAAACTGGTCAAGCAACAAAGTGTATCAGAAATTTTACTAATGAGGCATTAGTCTAATGCTTGAACGAAATAACTTACCGACATCTATAATGAATGAAGCCAGAAAAGTACAAAGAAAATCTGACGAACTCCACACAAGCACATAATTATTATCTTACCTTCAAGTGAGGTTTATTTTTAGAAATGATCGAGCGAAGCAAAGATCATTTCAAAATGGACGAACGAAGGAGGTAAGATAATAATCATATAAACCCACCTTCTCTTCCTCTTTCACACAAGGACTTTATTGGAACACTCTTACTTAGACATTTATAACAACATTTCAAAATTAATTAAATTTATTAAACAATAGTGTATATAGCATAGAAGTATTGCACAAATAGAATAAGTAGATTACAGATAGATATAATAATTAATACAAAAAAAAAAAAAAAAAAACAGTCTAAAGTTTCATTCAAAGAGGAGGGTAGTATATATATCTACGTAC